AGGCTAGTGACTTTATTTTGGTGGTTAGGAAGTGCTGACTAAAAATACCTATATGTTCAGTAACGTGGGAAATCAAAGGGTGAAGTGGAGAGGAGAGGCCGGGGCGGGGGGGTGGGGGAACGGATAGTGTGGTGCGGCTCGGGAGAACTTCAAAGCAAGTAGGAGAAACAGGATGTGCAGTGGCTTCCTGAAGGGGGATCAAAATACAGTCATACAATTCAGATGCAACCCATTTGTTTCCTTTCTCACGCAGTCGATCAACTTTTTTGAGAATGAGGTGAAACAAGTTGAATTGGGTGTGGTGCTGGGATTGAGAATCAGTTGTAAAATCTTTTGAAGGATTTTAGGTTTGGGGGAGGAGTGGAGTCGTGTTTACTTGAATATCATCATGCAGTATATGTCTTCAGTAAGCAGAAGGTTAGGTTGTGAATATAGGAGACTGCATGAAGTAAAGACGGAGGGACTCTCACTCCAGTGTGTTAGCAATAGAGAGTGATTGCCTTCAGAGGAGACAAGGCTGAACACATTTTCTGAGATCTCATGTCTTTAGGAAGTGTCACGGAAATAATAGATCAGCTTGCCTATAAAAAAGAATATTGTTAGTTTTAGGGCTAAGGTTTTATTTACTGAAGCTGACTTATTTATTGACACCATTCTACGTGGCAGTTTTTGTCATAAATGTTTTGTCAATACTGGACAACGCAGCACTCAGGGAGTTTTACATTTTGTGGTACTTGAACCTGACAGTTGTTTTCCGTTAAGCATTGAAAGAAAAACCCCAAAATATCTCAAGACTTATGTTTAAACTTGTTTTATTGTGACATTTATGTGTTCTGGATTGAACCTGCAGTTGCATCGTAACTTTGAACGTTCAGTTACTTGGCAAAAGTAATGGTAACCTATGGCTATGAACTGCTTCCTGGGGAATGCATAAAAAGTTGATTGCCAAAGATGGACCTGTGAGAAGTGTAGGAGCCCATCTGGAAGATGTGTGGAAGTAATAGCTGCAATAAAAGACGTATCTTGAGATGGTCACTTTGTAAACCTACTTGTTTCTTCTAATGCAACAAAAACAATCTTAAAAAAAAAAAGGAGTTGAATATGCAGTGGAAGCTTGTGAACCTAGATGCTGGTTTGGTTTTTTTGGTTTTTTTTTTTGTTTTGCATGGCAAACACTTTTATTTTCACTTCTTGCTAGTATTTTAGTAATGCTTTTCTAGCGTAGAACCCTTTGAATGAACAATAATAAAATGTGATAATGTAATCACCCTTGATCTGGAGGGACTACCATTAGCAGACCTCACTTCGGAAAGTTCATGTTCCTAGTCTGTAAGAATTCCTTGTACCAAATTTCTTAGAAGTGGAATACATGTCAGTGCCTAAGCTTTGTTGGCATTTAAACTACTAGGAGACTTGCCACTGATTCATTTTATATGTGTTGTATGAGAGAGTGTGGTAGGGCTAATGAGATAATGTCAGTTCTGTGTAATTCTGCATGTGCAGAAAAATACTATTTGCAGTAAGCTACTATTAATACTGTTGTTTTACCATAAGATGGTAAAATCTGAAGTTAGTGATGCTATACAGATCATCACAACAGATCCAGAATTGAGGCATGTACTTGAAGGTACTTAAGTAGCTGTTACATACCTAGCAGAGAAAAAACGAGTAGGAGCACATTTGCAGACCCCAGTACTCTCTCTGTTTTGTGGGATACCAGTGTTTGCAGCCAGTCTCTAGCCTCCACTTTTCAAGTAAGAGGCAAGGTGAACTGGTCTTACCAGTTTAAGACCCCATAATATTATTTGAAAATGTGGTATTACACTTTGGCAGGTTTCCACCAGAAATCTGCTGAAGGTCTGCCCTTTTCCTTTATGATGACTTTTTTTATCAGTGACTGTATTTTCTGTGTCACAGTAATGACAAAAGTGCTTTACAGAGGTGTGTGGGCATCATATAGTTTTAGGCATATCTCATAGTGTAGTGTTTCAAACTATAACTAGCTTCTCTTTTCATTTTATGATGTACAATAGTACATTTTTAGGTGGTAAGTGATTTTAGTTGCTTTGATTTTTGGTGTGTTATCTCGTGTAAAATTAAGTTTAGGCTCTTTTTGGAGCATAATGGTTGTTAGTGTCTGTCAATCTGTCAAGATTAAGTGTAATGTTTAAAAATAATATGTATACTTCCTCCTTTCCCACACCCTTGTTAATGAAGAGCTCATTGATGCTTCTGAGAGCACAGGTTTTAACTGTGGAAGTTACTTAAGTGTCTGTTCATAATTTCCATCAGTGTACATATCCCTGACTTGGAAAACATCATACATGATGTTCAGTCTTTGTTCCTGTTAACTGTAGCTGAGCAGAGGACGTGACAGTTTGTGGTAGCCTTTCCAATGCCAGGCATTACTTAACTCTCAAGATTTTAATAATCTACTTAACAACAAAAAGTGTGTGTGGGGAAGAACAGCAGGAGAGAGCAAATGAAGTTCTGATGTTAACATCTTAACAGCATAGACATTAAAGCTTACTCCACCATGCTTCACATCTTGCAGTTTTTTAAAAAGGAACGTTTGTGTGACATTTCAAATCTAGTTTCAAGCCGTGGTCTTGAAAAGTGGAGGTGATGTCTTTTTCAGACATGATGAGTATTAAGCCATCAATGTAGTTTTCATTGTGTTACTTTTTAATGCCTTATATAAAGTTTAGATACTGTTGATTTCACATGTAGTTGGGAGAGGTATTTCCAGTAGCAGGTAAGGATGAATGCTACTGTCCTGGTTAAGGCCTAAAGCAGAGTACAATTATGGTGGCTGGTATTTAATGTAACAGTGCAACAGGGACAGAGAGTCACTGATTAGGAGCCTCTCTTCTGAGAGAATACTAGTCTTGTTTCTTCTAGCAGAATGAAAGGTGAGAAGGATCTGTTTACTGTCTTCAAAGACCTTCAGAGGGGAAGGAAACATCTGGGGGGAAATAACAGTTTAAGCTAAAGGATAGGGTTGTTGTAAAGGAATGTAGATGTATAGGGCATTCAGATTTTGGAAGAGCTTTCAAATTTGAGCATTGGGAACTGGTTTTAGTTGTAAATACTTCTAAGTCACCATTTCCAAAAAGGGTTACCTGGTGTCCAGCATTACAGTGGCCTAGAATAAATACCTAGGAAATCTTTGTATTCCTGTGTTGATAATTATCCTGTCTCATTATAAACTTCCTTTTTTTACTTGTACTTATGCATGTTGCATTTAGTCATTTAGTCAGTAGTTGATTACCCCCACCCCGCACTAGACCAGGCAGGTAGGAAAAAATAAACTGTACCATAGCTGAACCATTGAAAATATATCAGTCAACTTAAAATCAGCTGTTCATTGTGGAAAATGAATACATATTTGATGGCTAATTTCTTAATAATCATCTTCTTTTAGCCAAAATATTTGCCGAGAAAATAGCAAGCGAAAAGTAGCTCAGCAGATCATGTCTTGGTCTTATGAGCTAATGCCGTATCACCTCAGGCTGCAAGCTTCCCAGATTTAGCAGGCTACAGAGGGTCAAGCCTGAGATGAGACCTCTCAAGGGAAAGTGCAGGTTCTTTAGGAAGTGGTTTTCATGCATCTGTTTGCTGTCTGCTTTCTGTTGACTCATTCCATGTGAAGCTGGATGATTTCTGTACACTATTGGCTCTTACAAATTGAAAATTAATATAGAAATACATGAATGGAAAAGTGAATTTTGGACACAGATCAATACTGTAAATTTCTTATGCCTAATGTTTTGTGAGGTTTCCCCCCTCGATATTTACAGTCATTTTTTTTTATTTACAGATGATGCCAAACACTTAGTACCCAACAAAATGAGAGACTTTTTCTGTACCATAAACTTGGACCAAGAAGAAGTTTTTCGTACACAGGTAGTTGAAAAATCTTTAAGGTAAGCTTAATGTTTAAATGGAGATGATAAGCAGAACTGCCTCAGTTCAGAATAAAAACAAGTTATGTATCAGTGTGCATGTGCTTTTGCTTATCCCTATTTAAAAAAGAGAGCTGGCTTGTGGCAACTACTCTGTAATGTTACAGCAGTGAAAGTAGTTGAGCCTTGCAAGTGATACAGTGCTTTTAAAATGAAGCTTGCTAAAACATATTTCACTATTACTTTATTCTGTTGTGTGAGCCAGCATAACATCATTTTTTTTGCCAGGTTGTTTTCAAGGGAAAGAGGGCTTGGTACTTGCTGTCCACGTAATTTCCTGCTTCCAACACACAGTTGATCTGTATTGGTGTGTTCTGCTTTTAGTGTCTGTCTTGTAAGACCTGTTTCCAGAATGAAGGAACTAGTACTCCATATGTTACAGTTTTGTGTGCTGTGGCATGTCCCCCTATTTAAGCCTCATTCTCTCCCGAAATTCTTGTTTTGGAACCTATAATCTGAACTTGCAGAGAGCAGTTTTGCTTCTCTGAGGAAAGCTTAGCTGTAGATTCTGCGACTGTCTTAGACCCTTGAGAAGCAATGAGGTTCACTGGTGACCCATAGTGAAGCATCACTGCAACTGCATTGTTCAGAATATCTGAGTGACTGTTACCTGTAGGAGACATTAAACATTCCTTGTAAAATCCAGAAGGTCTGTTCAAACTCTTCAACAAATTTTTCCTATTTCTTGTTGTTTCCCGTGGTTTTCAAGTAGACTGTAGTTTGATGGGTAAAAAGGACCCGATGTATCCATTAAGAAGAAAGACTTTGCTATCTCATTTCTGACATGTTAATGATTGAAACCCTAAAAGTTACTACTGTCTTTAGAAAAAAGACTTGTCTACATAAACATTAAATGTAACCTTTTTATTCTGTTTAAGAACTATTAAATTTGTATACTTTAATCACGTGATAATAAAATCAGTATTGACTCCATAGTAAAACACTTGATCAATGAGATGACCATAGGCCCAGTGGATTTTTTAAAAATACTACTGAAGTTTAATTGAAACATAATTAAAGGAAAACAATGCCACTAGTACTTTACGGAAGAAAGGAAGAAAAATCTCACTATAACCAAATGACAAATTGTGGGGGTGATCTTAAGTGATACCTTCCCCCCCTCAAACTGAGAATTGTTCAGATTATGTGAAATTAATATTTCTAAGTTGAGAACATTTTATTAGGAATTAAGAGTCTGTATTCTGTATAACTCATTGCCCATAAGTGCCTTTCTATTGTTTAGAGGGCAGATGTGAAGCAAATGATTTTTCACAGTTAGAAAAACATGAATAAATACCGGAGTGAAAGAAAGCTAATTTGACCAATGGCACAAGAAATATTTCCTGACATGATGTGGGTTTTCTGTGGGTTCTGAAGAAAAAAAAATGGTTTTTTCCTTGGAAAGTTCAAAGAATATCTGCAATCCTCCTCAAAGATCTGTGGTGTAATATGAGGAATTGGGGATGGGAGGAGCTATAGTGTGTGTGTTGCTTTTTTTTTTTTTACTTAAAAAAGAAAGAAATTTGATTTAGTTTGAAACTGAACTTTGTTTGCATGCAAGGTTTGAAATGCTGGGGTTCAACCCCCAGCCCTGAATGAGGGTTGGCATATGGATGATGTCCACAACCAGGCAAGTTAGACCCTCTTGATTGACTTTTTTACCCAGGGTCTGGGCAGCTGTGGGTGGGAACTGATGAGGAGATCACCAAGAGATGCCCCCTCCTTCCACATTGACTTGGAGGCAGGGCAGGAAGCCACTTCTGTAAGAACTGACTGTGCTTGCAGTGGCTTTGGGAGCTCTGCCCACACAGTGCATGTGGGACTCCCCAGCTCTTTATGGCAAGTGGAGTTCCCAGGGTGGCAGGATCAGAACATGAAGCTGTCTCTGAGTCCCTGCTCTGTAACTGGGCTCATGGCCTGGCTGCTACCATTGCCCATGGCTTGGCTCCTCACCCGGCTTGCTCCCTTCTTCACATCCACTGTGGTGGGTGAGGGCATTGACCTGTGCCTCCCTCTGGTGGTCTGGCACCTTGGATCTTTGGTGTGTGATGTGGGAGGGGAGGGAGCAGTTTGGCTGCTGGTCTGCCCATTAATGGTAATACCATTCTATATTGGGCTAGCGGTCAGCAGAAGAAAGTTGGTGTCGTGGACAGCCACAGCTGGAACCTCTGACTAGAGGGACCCTCCATGCCGCCCGTTAGCGCGTGAGCTGGCCGAGATTGCTGGACCGTGCAGACAGTGGGAGGGTCAATTAGCAGATGCCGAACCTCATGCTATCCTAGATAATGTCCAGAAATCATCCTACCAAAAAGGAGAGAATGTTGTCAGACGGGGATGGATGTTGCTGACATGGAATAAGAAACAGCACCAACTAAAAGAACAATTGGTATCGCAGCACTCCCATTTGGAGCGACAGCTCAATGATTGACAGAATCAGATTACAATGTTACAGTGCCCAAATGAGCTGCTAGCTGATAAACTGGGTGTTTCCCAGATGTCACCCAAAAAAGCTAAAGAGAGTTGTCCACCATGAGAATAAGAGGCGACAAGTTATTTGGAGAGAGGTTCACTCAGGTGCAATACAAGAGGAGGATAATGATGATGTCTGGTACTCAGCAGACTCTGATGAGGATGGCTCATCAAGTAAGCCTCATGATGTAAGACCAGTGTATAAGCAAAGGGCAGAATTGGATGACAACAGGCACTTGCTGAGAAAAGATGCATTAGAAGATTACACACAACAATAGGTAAATGACGTTATTGGGTGACTTAAACAATGACCAGGAGAACCTCCTGCTCTCGTGGATGGTGCCTATATGATGAGGGATGATTCTTGATGAGACAGACTCCAGGAAATTTGTGATGCTGAGTTGTGATTCCCTTGTGCAAGACACGTTTCGGAACAGTGATAGAACGACTTGATTTGTTGGCCTTGGCCACTGTAGGATGTAGAAATACATACCTGGTGGAGAGTGCCTGGCCAGGGTCGGGGCAGCCGCGGCACGCCCTGTGAGATGGAATTCAACACGTGAAAGAAGAAGGGATGAAGTGAGCTATCTTTGCTGGCCAAGGCGATGTCTTAATGCAATTTGCATTAACTGTTCCTTTGAGAAATGCCATTATAACTGCTCCACCAGCCTGTAAACATACAATGATGACGCTTTTACTTAACGAGACGGGGAGCTCCATCAGAGAAGTAATTGATAAAATACAGCAACTGCGGGATCTTGGAGAATGGGGCCCAGGAGAGACTGAAAGAAATCAAAGTACCCAGCTTCAGTGGGGCCCCTGGGAGAATGAAGACTGAGAAACCCAATGCCATAGGACTAGCCAACACAGAATCCCTCGAGGGGAGTTGTTTGTGGCTTTGTTAAAGGATGGAGTACCCTGTAGCAAAACTGATGGTGCTGAAACCCAGAAACTATGGAGAATATACAGGCAGAAAGGGTTACATAAACCCCGCAGAAAAGTGCAGAGGTATAAAGTGAACAACTCAGAAGCAGTTCAGCCTTTGGCACGTCCTCTGGAAACTCAACAGTACTCCACATTTGCCCACGGAAAGCTCCCTGCGAATGGATCAGCTGTTCTGAGGGAGAAGGCAGTTGGAAACTGTATTCTGACCTGTATCCTGGGAAGGAACTCAGTGGAATAACACAACATCTCAACTCAGACTGAAATGATGGCCATGCTCTGGTACAGTGGGAACGAGAGGACTGGCAACTGTACGTGGAGCTGTACATATTCTGGAAAAAACAGTCCTCACAAACAGTAAAAGCTCTGGCTGATACTGGAGAGAAGGCCTCTCTAACTTATGGAAATCCTAAGAAATTCAGAGGACAGGTTGTGATTATTAAGGCTTGAGAGGAAAACAAATTAAAGGTGTGCAAACCCAGATAGAAATGAAAATTGGAAACCTAAAACAATAGTGTCAGGTTATGATATTCCTGTCTCAGAACATACAATAGTAATAGATATTCTAAAAGGATTAACCTTGAACCTCCCTGATGGTAAATACCAATTTGGAGTAAAGAACTGTATCAGTGCCTAGGCAATTCTAGCAGGAAAAGTAAAATGTCTTCTGTGCAGATTCTGGCTGCAGCCAAAGTTGTGACAATGAAATGGTACAGGATTCCAGGTGGGCATGAAGAGATTTCCCAAACAATTAAGAATTTATTATCTGCAGGAGTTTTAAAATCAACACCTACATCCTGGAACAATCTGATTTGTCCTGTTAAAAAGAGGGATGGGTCATGCAGAATAACTGTAGATTTCAGGGAATTAAGCACACCGCACCTCTCACAGCAGCTGTACCTGACACTGTCACTTTATAATAGAGTTCAGAAGCATCCTGGAACTTGGTGTGCCGTGGTTGATTTAGCTGATGTGTTTTTTACTATCCCTATTGCAGAGGAGCATTGGGATCAATCTGCCTTTACGTGGTAGGGACGGCAGTATACCTTCACCAGGCTGCCTCAAGGATGGGTGCATAGTCCAGCTATTGTTGGTCATTGAATAGTGGCTGAACACCTGGATGAAGGAAAACTGTCTCCTTGTATGCAGATAGTACGTTCTATAGATGACATCCTCACTCAGGGACCAATGAGAGGAGTTACAGCAAATACTCAGATTGGTTGTGGACCATATGCAACAGAAAGGTTGGAAAATTAATCCTACTGAAATTCAAGGAGCATCTCAAACAGTTAAATTTTTGGGAATCCATTGGCACTGTGGACATCGGGAGATAATACCTAAAGCCCGACAGAAAATCCTGCACTTTGCAGTACCACAGAATAAGAAAGAGGCACAGAGATTGGACTGTTCAGCTTTTGGAAGCAACACATTCCACATTTAGGGCAGATTTTGGCCCCATTCTATGAAGTGACCAGGAAGAAATATGAATTTGAATGGGGAAAAGAACAGCAGGCTGCTTTTGAATTAGCAAAAGAGGCTATTCAAAGGGC